TAAATTTTAAATTTTTACAATCACTTCACGATCACTTTCACTTACGACCAAATTTTAAAATTTCTGAATTTCCCAAAACAGAACTGCATAATTGAATAGAATTATATATTTTCAATTTCCTATTCCCTCTGACCTAACACTTAATTTTTTTAAAGCATTATGTACTTCTAAATTAGTAAAAGCATTTGCAGTTTTTTGTGCATTTCTTATTTCATTTTTTTTATTTATTTCCAATAATTTCAGTGTTTTGTGAAAAACACTTTCTCAGTCTTTCAATAGTACTGTTTGCACTTATTTGATTTTTAAATGATTTTGGGGATATATATACAAGGGAATTTACACCAATTAAAAGAAAACTTCAGGTTAACTGCTAAATTCTTACTAATAGACAAACAAAACATGTTTAATCGCTATGAAACAAACTTTCTTTTATGATTTCTTGTATTGTAAGAATCTGTCCTGTGAGGTTAATTATTTATAATCAACTTCTTTGTGTTTTATTTATGTTCTGTTATTTATATTTACATAAATGCAAATTGCTGTCTCCCCCCCCCCAAGAATCCCTTTTCTTTACAAGTGGGAAATAACTCTTTATTTTAGCTTTTAGTCAAGCTGAGTGCCAAAGTCTAAAATTAAAGAAACATTGAATTAGGCTTGTAATTCTAAACTAGGCATCTAACTCAGGGTATAAATATATATATAGTGTAATCTGGATGTCATTTCTAGATTATACAGCTGGACAAGTTACCAGACTTTACAGAAGATGATATTAAATTAAAAATTAGAATTTCGAGATTTAAAAAAAAATATGAAAGACCAAAGAAAATATGGTTGATGAAGTACTGGAAGCTGTGGTTTAGCAAAGGGAGCAAGAGGGGAGTATCTGTCAGTGGGTGTAACATCCAGGGAGTGTCAAACTCGGGGATGTTACACCCACTGACAGTGAAATGTTTCCCAGTTTGTCCCCAAGTGCTGGAAACTTAGCTACTACTATGACTAAAAGAAATCCTTGCATCATCAGGTGAAGAGACTGACTATGAAAATGAATCGAATAACCACATTGAAAAATGAATTCACAGGAGTTTTTTTTTTTTTTTTTTTAATAAACTCATGTATTGTGATATTATAATGAAAAAAGAGTAAAATTCTGCTACAGAATAAGGTATGCAGTTGTACTCACACAGAAATTATTTTACAATGTGTCTAAAGTAATTACAGGGAGGGGAAAAATTTGTAGTACATTTTTTTTTTTTTTTAGAAACAGTCTATAAAGGTCTAATGATGGAAGAAAAATTAAGGAAATGTCATGTAACTGTGGGAAAAGGGTGAAAATTTCAATGCAGTTGCTTTATTGTGACTTAAACTTTTGTCCCAGTCTATTCGTGATTTTAACTTCTGACAAATTGTCTTCAGCAGTTCTACTGTTCAGCTACCAGTGACCTTGTATTGTGAAACTTGCAATAGGATAGTGATTACTGATGCTGACTATCATATTGAAAAGACTGGGTTCAAATTTGGTAGAAGGCATGGTTGTTTGTAAATGTATATAGTGTCTGTGCGTCAAGGGGTCACTTAAGACTCTCGGACCCCTTTCCCAGGATATTGGAATTCAAGTGATTTGGCATAGGGCAGAAGCTCAGTAGTTAGCAAGGCCCAGTGATACCTAATATGCATATATGGCGCCAACTTTGCTTCAACCTGCACCTTCAACCTTATCTGTGCTGTTTCTTCAATTCACAGTCATCATATTTATTACCCTGTAAAATGTGTACTGTTTGTACAAAGATAAAAGTTGCTACGATATGAGACATTTGAGCGATAAAATAATATCCAGAATTTTTTGTATTATGATCTGATTTTTTATTTAAGCTTTTGTTTTCAATTACTGTGTATTGACAATTAAAATTTGCTTTTTACATTTTCATTGCAAGAATCATTCAGCTGAGCAACTTCCCAAATTTTCGAAACTCGATTTTGAAAATTTTGAATGTTGTCTAATAGCATTGAATTGTCAAATCTCGTTATTTTTTACAATTTTTTAACCAGCTATCTATAGAATACTGACAGCTAATTTTATTACTTTTATGTATATCCAGATGAGCAGATTTTTGTGCTTTCCCCCCACCCTCCATCCCAGAAAAATCAAGTCTAAGGTTGGAAGACATTTCTTGTTAGATTTGTATTTAAATGGATTTATATGGCACCATTGCCCATCAAAAAGGTGTTAGTTTAGTTATTATTTTAAATACCATTAAGGATTTTTTGTCTGCAGAATGTTTGGTGCTAGTTTTAGTGTTCATAGCAAGCTAAAAATAAAAATATTAAATGTATAATATAAATAATTTAAATAGTTAAAATAATTAATATATTAAAATATATTTCTAATATTAATTCCCTTCATTTTGATAAGGATTTTCTGATCACATTTCATACATATGAAATATACAGTGTTTTAAGAAGTTTCTGTATGCAAAGCTACAGAATGAGTTCACTTTTCTGAGACATTGAGAGAAACTGAAATTCTAGTAGAGAAAGTTTAATTTTTTATTTACTATTAGTAATTCTGGATCAGTATTTGTTTCAGCCAGTATAATTTCCTGCATATAATATTTTATGTTTTATATTTATAATTGCAATATTATTATTATTAAGTCTTTCCCTCTTTAGTTATATTTTTATCATGATGTTTGCTTATTATAAGAATAAATTTGTATACTGATCTTGTTTTGTCTGTAACTAAATGTCAGTCCAATTAATAATTGTATAATCAGATTTTTCTCTGAAACTAAATATCACAGACCAGAAATCTATTATGCAAATTATGATAGTTTATTGCTGTAATGCTTGATTATGCAATTATGATTGTTTATTTTTATACAGTAATATTGATTGTGTAATTATAATTTTTCTAGTTTGAAGAGAAAAGTGTAGTGCAGGAAAACATCAAGAAAAGTCCAGTGATTCCAAGTGAAATAAGTAATAAAAGAGGCCAATGGGTAATGAAACCACCTACAGCAGAACAGACTATTGCATTGGATAAAATCATGTTGGAAGAAAAGCAGAAATTAATTCCTGTGCAGAAAAAGTCAAGGTATTTGTTTCCATATCATGATTATTATTAGACACCACCCATTGTTTTTGACATGGAGTACACTAACTACAGTGACATAAGATTTAGGAAATTTCTTATTTTATGACATATTCATTTTTGAAAGAAATAGTTGTCCCTGTGGTTATTGTGAAAATAGATAAGATGAAAAATTTGAATAACTTTGAATAAGAAATGATTGTGACTCCAAGAAGACTTCGAACATCTCTGAATGGCTATGTTTTGGGCTTGTCTCTAAAGTCACAATCACATTATGTTTCGGCTATGCAGGACTTGACGTCGAAAGGGACAATTCCAGGAAACCCATGTAGCTAGGTTACCATTTTCACATACTACAAAGACTTGAACGCCAAACACTAATCGATTATCGCTCAGATTGGTATCACGTGAGGCTTCAGAAGCAGAACTTTCTTCTGATTGGTTATCTCTACCCGGGACTGAGGTCCAGCCGAGATATTTTCGGTAAGGTTTGAAAAAATCCCACGTAGCTGCAACATTGTTTCCTTAGCTAGGCAGGGCTCTTTTTTTCTAGGAATCTTCCCATTTAAACCAGTGCTACCAGAATCTCGTTTCTCAGAAAAGTCCCATCTAGCAGGGACTGTAGCCATGTGTGATAACCTCTTGAGAGTCTTGAATGTATAAAAAGTGGTAATTGAGATTTAAAAAAAAAAACTTTAAGGGGAGGTAAGGACAATTCTGGTATATGCAAGAGATGGGAGGTGGCTGACATCAGCTCTTCACAGCAACAAAATGACAAATTACAGCTCAGTACAATTCATATGCACCATGAAGCATATCTGAAAGCATACTGTGATGAACTTTGCAATAGAAGGGTTTAATAGCAAGAAATCATTGCCAATTTGTGCTTTATTATTGGGTTGAACACAACTGTGATGTATGTAATTGTTTTCTTTATAAAAATCAATAGTTATTTTATCACGAAATTACATTTTCTTCTTAAATTGTTAACCTTATTCTTTAGCACATTGCCTAAGTTTTTTGTGATATTGTTATTTATTCACAGGGTAGTTAGTACCTTTCATCCAATAAAGAATTTTTCCTATAGACCATGGGTTCCCAACCTTTTTATCCCTAAGAGCAAATTATAGAATATCTGTTGGATGGCAAGCATCATTTACTTTTTCAAGGTGAATTTATAGTTGGATAGAGTTAAAAATACATTTGCATAAAAAAAGAGATTGGTCGCATTTTGCTTTGTGCTGGTATCTGTGTTGGATGTAATTTCTATTTCATTAAAAATGAGAAAACTTTTCAATATAATTTTATTGAAAACTAAAACATTTTTATTGTGATCGCACAGCGGCGGGCACACGTTAAACGATTGAAGGGTGTCATGGTGCTCACAGGCATAGGGTTGGGAATCCTGCTATAGACTACTTGTACTGACACACTAAGTATACCTCATCTTGTCTGTAGTTCTGTATTCTATCCAATTTGAACAGTGTTGCATCACAATTCATTTATCAGTATGTAAGATGAAGGAATGATCATATACATTTGACCGCAGATGCTCAAATTCTGTTCTTCCAAAATAATTTTTTGTCTGGTCCAAAAAGGCGAATAACTTTTTTTATCGTTTTAAGAGGTATTCGACTTTTGTCTGATTTGAAGAATTTTGAATTCTGAGCATAGATAATCACATCTTTTCTAAAAGTGCCATCTTTAATATCTGAAGCTGTATGTACAAAATACATTCATATTGATATATAGGTATTTACTTTCCTGTTGTAAATTTGTCTTTAAGTAACAAACTGGGCAGGAAAGTAACCCAGAACTGCATTGGGACAATGTAGTTTGCTGACAGATTTGTTAAAAACTTTGTAATTTATTCAGCAGCAAGGTAGTGTTCTGCCATATTGATGATATTCATTTGATTTGACACCTTAAAACTTTTTTTTTATGCATAAACTGAAAGAAATCCAGTTTTCACTTAGATGAAGCTGTAGTTGTTTATGAATAACGATCAAGTTGCTTTTGAATAACAAGTGCTTTAAAAGTGATTTCAGTGAATAAAAATGTGCAAATGATGTTTAGTTAATACTTCCAAAAGATCCAGTAAATGTTTCACTTGTTTTTATACGTATCATAGAAATGTGTTGATGCCTCTAATTTTCAAAATTGAGGAGGTGGCAAATTCAGAAGTACAATGATGAAGGAAAAGTTATAAGTTCCTAAATATACCAAAAGTTGTAGAGGCTTCATTAGCTTTGTTTCATGCAAAAACTGATCCTGGAATATAATTTTCTTTAATACCTCAATATGTTGCTTGGTATTTTCTTTGATGCTTCAATATTCTAAATTGTGGGTGTTCAGTGTAAAAGCAATATATCCTGTTAAATTCACATTTGATTATAGATTTCATCTCAATTACATTATTCTCAATAAACAATTTTAAAATTGGGAATTAATTAAATGAATTAATAAAATTCAGGCATAAATTTTTCCCACCCGAAATCTTAAACTTAAAATAAAATCTCTCAAAATTCTTTTTTTATATTGAAAGGCTTTTCCTAAACAGAGAAAAGCAATTGATTAAAGTTATTTCAAATTACTAATGGCGGTTTAAAAATAACGCAATGTGTTTCTTGTGTGTTGTAATTATTAAAGTATGTTCTTTTAACTAATCAAATTAGGTAAAAACTAGAATGGATAAACATATCAAGTGTCATAGATAAATTGTGTTTTCAAAACTGAACCTTCTGACTACTAAATACAACATTGCATATGCAAAGTGGTGTTTTTTTAAAGGAGGGAAGCAATGTGCTTTTGAGCCATTAGTCAGACTTAACTTTTGTAACTCTTATGAGCATATAAGCAAACCCCACTTACTATGCCACCAAAATGATGAAATTATTTCATCATTCTGTGCCATAACTGTATGCAGCTAAATCATATGCAGAATAAAACTGACTGTTTACTTCGATGATGTTAACTTACTCTAGGTACAACTTTTACTATATACGAATACTATCAATAACAAGTGCTTTATCAAACTGACTTTTGCTGTGGTGTGTGCAGACTGATACCTTTCATCTTTATTTTTTCTGATGATATGATGACATGTTTTTGTATTTCAAGGCCAATAAATTTGCAAACATTTAAAATCTGCTGCTTTTATTTGAAACATCCTTGATTTTAAAGCTAATTATTATAATTCCATATTTTATTATACAGTATCTTTTTATTCTATTATTCAATTCCAAAAACTTATCAAATATTTCTTTTGATTTAAAAAAATATAAATATTTGTATTCTGGTGTTATTTTACTTGCATTTTGTTTTCAGAATAGAAATCACTAACTTTTCTTACTGTTTTTGTAAAGTGATGTATTAAGTTCTAAATCTGGTTTTATTTATTTAAATAATACAATTAAGATTGTTTTACAGTGCTGTAGATATGAAACCAATTCCACATATATCACAAAAACAGAAAAAATTGCTAGAAACATCAAAAAGCCATATTGAAAGCATTGTGCCAAATAGTCCACCATCTTGTCCCTGGTAAGATTGTTTATGAAAATTTATATAATTAAAAATCTATGAATGCATACAAAGTAAAACTAAAAATTCTTTGCCTGTTTTTATCATATTTATCTAATGATAGCTAATATATGTAAACAGTTAAAATTCTAGTGAAAATGTGAGGAAATTTTATAAATGGAATGAAATTTTCTGTTGAGTATGGAAAACATTCATAGATAATCTACAATTTGATTTTTACAGGTTTATGCATATTAAACAATTCATATTTATCAGTATAGTTTTTGAAATTTGGTATATGCTTATCTTTAAATTATATTTGTAATATAATAATATGTTTTCAGGGCAAAGCTGCCTGAACAGTCACCTCCGTCTCCTTCATTTTGGGATGCATTTGAGAAAAAGGAATTTCAGGCATCTGCTATAAAAAGGTTAGATAAGTTCCTATATTTTAATGCTATTACTTTTCTTTCCCCTCTAAGTAAAATTTTTAATTTCATTATTATGTAAAACTTTTGGTTGATAAACAATTTATTTTAGAGAGGTTACTCATTTTGAGAAAATTTGATGCATTCTCTCTCAAAATACATAGCATCTTTTCTCTAAAATAAGCATCTCCCTAATGTATTGGTTTGAAAATACTCAAGAGTTTTCTGTCTCATCATACATACCTGTACCAGAAGAATAGCCTAGTTTGAAATCAACTAATAAATTCTCTAGTTTATTGTAGTCTTCAAAAATGTTTCCAAACAAAGCTACAGCTCTTTAATTATGATTTAAAATTGTATAGAAATGTACTGGTTTACATAAACTAAGGGGGAAGATTTTCATCAAATTTTGTCCAAGAGAAAAGTAAAAGCTGAACTAGGATTTTTGAAAATGAATTTTAATCTTGTTGATTTACATAATCAGATAGCAGCATAAAACAGGTATTTTGGATTTCATAGCTTTTCATATTTTAGGTGTTGATAGATCTAAATTATTCATTAAGGAAGAGAAATTATGGGCATCTTCTGCTTACACAAATATCACATCCTTTGCTGGTTCAAGCAGGCCACTGTTTGTCAAATGCAATACAATAGTTGATTCTGATACCTTCTGTAGAGTGCACAATACTTTTGACCAAGGAAAGCAGTTAAATATAACACCTCAGAGCACTTGAACTGCTCTGAGGAATAGTGGACAAGTGCACTCATCGTAGGTGTGGCTCGATACAAGTAGAAAATCTGTGGCCATTGCCTTCAATGGTGGGTACCATGTGCCAACTGTCATCCCATGTCTATTAATTAATAAGTAAAGATTTCATATCTAATTGAAATGGTATGTTTATGAGCAGACAAATAGCATCTCAGTATATATAAGTATAAAAGCAACATCCTATGCATCTGCCACATTAAGATACTAGTTAACTTATTCAATTTTTTTCTGTTTATTAAGATCAATAAACCATTTTGGTATATTAATTTGTTGATGTGCATCAAAAATTCTCTTTGTGTAGCCTTGCGCAGCCTCTTAAGATACATTAAACAATGATATCATTGTTAAATAATAATATGCAAAATCTGTGGCTCGGAAGTTAAGGTATGTATGCTTCTTATGCCAAGAATAGGGCTCCTCTGAGCCCTTTAGCCCTCTGAACATCATGACTGGCTTTATCTGGTTACGAGATTTTTGATCACTTAGTATATAGCATTAGCTTACAATTTAAGATATTTTGCTTTCTTACTTTCTTTAATAATACAGATGTCATCTTAATGAATGTAAGTTTATCAAAATGCAAATTAAATAAGTAAATACACAAATTTAGCTAATACAGGCTGTTTACCTTCACAGATCTTCATGATAGATCGAAAAGCCCACATTGTTCAGAGGGTTAAATAATCTGACTAGTGACAATAAAGAAAATACAAGATAACTAAATATATATGATATATGATAAATATACTGGAAGCAACCATCACTCATTCCTTAACACATGTGGTTGTTGCTGATTCAGCTGCAACAGTTTACTCTGAGACCAAAATATTGCTCAATACTTGCTAATTGTTTAGCCAATCAGAAGGAAGGTAGACAGTGATCACTTCCATCTAATGTGAATAACAAAGAACTTGTACCTGACTGAAGTTACTTATTAAAAATGGTAACCCGATTAGGTAAGCAAAATTTCAAGAAATGTAACAATTGACTTGATGTTTGAGCTCCTTTTGCTTGAATCTAATAGCAGTCTTATTGGTTAAATATTTGTATTTTTTAAGTGCGAAGTTTCCAGATATTTGATTTTTTTCATATCACTATAATAAATAATGTATATATAATTGCAATTAAATATATACAATTAATAATACAAGTTTATTGAGGGGCATCTTTTTAAATACTTATAAAGATATTACTTAATGTCTTTTTATTTTAATAAAAACTGATAATTATATTTACTTCATATGTAAATCATGTTTGAAGACAGTGTGTTATGTTTCCTTAGTGTTTCAATGAATGAGAGATCTTAAAGTGTTTTTTGCTCTTAAAACAGAGAACTGCAGAGTCCTACTTCTGCTAGAGCTCATAAAGATGACTGTCCTTTTGAGGAAAGTGTGAAAGATATAGTTATTAGCTTAAGTGACATACAAAAAGCTGAAGAGCAAAAATTGCAAAGAGCTGCCAATCCAAAAATCAAGCCACTAAGTCTCATAAACGTAAGTTTTCTAATTAAGTCTCATAAATGTTAATGTTAGTCTCATAAATATTAATAATGTTTAAGTCTTATAAATGTAATTTTTCTAATTGTACTTATACAAAATTTTAATATTTCTAAAAGCAGTCAAATTATTCTGAGCTACCAAAGTGATCAGTTTATCAGAAATAGTTTTATCAATTTGAATCTGCAGTCATTTTAAGGTTTTATATGGTTCAAATGTATTTAATTTTCTCAAATTTTGCAGGATAACATATATTTTGGCAATTTATTCCCTCTAAATACATTATAATCTGGGATACTTTATCACCATGCACCTGCCACTCATTTATGTGTATGTGCTCTATTTTGTTATGCATGTGTGTGTGAATGACTAATTGTTTGGTCCTAAGATGGCATCGTTGTTCAGTATCGGCATGTCTTGGGCTTTTCTTTCACAGGTGCCAAAAGGTATGGCATGTCTATAATATGGAAAGGTGCACCTTGCACAAAAAATATGGGACAGTTCTGTATCTCCCATTTTACTGGACCGAACATTTACTTTAAGATGATGGTAAACATTTTAAATTAAATCATAAAAAATGAGCAAATTTTATTTGGAATGAACCTAAATTTTGAAATGTTAAAGGAAGACTCAAATAAGTTTAATAAAAAAAGGGAAATTAATAAATATATACCAAATTCAGTTAACATGGAGGACCTAAAAATTTGAGAGCTAATTTTTTTAAAAAACTACTTGTACGATTTTTACAAAACTTTTCAGTTTGGCATGATTTGAATCGTAGAATCAAAATATGGGAAAAAATTTTGCATGTTATTTCAGAAAAAGTCTGACTGATTTTATGTCAAAATACCTACATTATAATCGGCCCAGTATAACGGGAAATATAGAACTGTCCTCTTTTTATATATATATATATATGTGTGTGTGTGTGCAAGGTGTACATACCTTGTTTTTCAAGAAAGCTCATAAAGTTTAGGTATTAAGATATGTTCCATATTTGATCAGAAAAAATGTGGCATTGCATACTTCAATAAATATAGAAAGCATGATTTCAGATTTCAAAATCTCCTTTATTTATTTCTGAATAATATATACTTAGCGGTGAAAAATAGGATTTCACTGACTCATTTCTTACACAGTACTATACTGAAAAGAAACTCTGCAGTTACATTTGAATATTTCTTGTTAAAAATTAGATTCTGCTGTAACAGATCATGATTTTATTTTATTTGAATTCATTAGTATTAGATACATTTGATGACTACCGCTGCAAACTTATTAATGAATGAACTAAGCGACTACTTAAACATGATAAACTACTATATTCTTGTTTATGCCATAGGCTAAAGTAAAATGTTTAAGAATTATCTTCATTTACTTCAAAATGAATAAAAGGTACATTTAAAATTTCATTTAACAAAATAGTTTTCATAAAATATTATGCTATAAATATGTATATGTAGTGACATCGTCAGTAATCACAGAGTACCATTTTTCTAGTGAGAACACGTAAATAAATGTTGTGATAATGTTCATGAGAAATAGCAGATTAGCAGACTTTTTTGCATAAATTGGAAATTCAGGAATATCAACCTTGTAATTTAATTAAACAGGAAAATACTGATAATTAATTATTTTATGGATGCTGAGTTTTCAAAAAGCTAACAATTTTTATACTGTATAATGATATTTTTGTATAGTCACAAACTGAAAAGTCACAAATCTTTCAAGTAACTTGTCAGCTGTGAAGCTACTTGTCATCCAAAACATATAAAGTACCCACAATCAATTGCCACTTTCTCAAAATCTTTTTATCAACTAGTGGTTTCTGTTTTTAACTTAGTAAAAGTACTCTTTTCTCTTTAGGATTAATTTAATGTAAAGACATACCCACAGTTATTTTGGTCATTTTTAACAATCTTTCCTTACTACATTTAAGTTGTATGCATGGTGAACAAAGGCAGATTCAGGGCATGCAAAGTAATTTTGTTTACTGTACTCAAAATATTTAATCATTGTATATTACTCTCATATTTGTTCCCCTTTCCTTACCAATTTTACTGCTTAATAAGCACAGCACATTAAAAAACACACATAAAGGCACATGATTATTATTATTATATTAATTTCAAAGGACTTATAAATTTCAGTAATATTCTTTTTACTTATACTAAATATTGTCTTATTTATGTACACGTTTTACATCTTTATCATAAATCAGAAGTTTATAAATCATATATGGAAAAAAGTAGAAGGGAAACATGTTAGTAAATGTATTATATTTCGTGTAAGTAGTATTTAATTTTGTGCTTATGAGTTAGTTGTTTTTTCTGACACCTTATACATCTTGCTGAACGATGGGCAGAATACTTAAATTGCAGCCCATACCCTTAAAATCAGGTGAGAGCTATGGTAACTGTGAAATGAGTATGGTTTCCAGGAAAGAAGCTACGTAGTGCTAGTATAATTTTCTTTGTGTAAAATATAAAATCATAAAGTTTTGAACTGGCATGTTGCTATAGTTTTTGTATTTGTTATAAAAAAGAAAACACAGAAAGTATAACTCCCGTATGACAAAAACTGACCAAATTGTTTTTATATTAAAACTGAAGTACAAATTTAGGACTTCTACACAAATTGAGTAGTGAAACATTTGAATTTGTATGTAACTAAAAACAAAATATGAGTTTAGAAAAGATTTATAAATCATATATGGAAAAAACTAGAAGGGAAACATGTTAGTAAATGTATTATATTTCGTGTAAGTAGTATTTAATTTTGTGCTTATGAGTTAGTTGTTTTTTCTGACACCTTATACTTAGAAGATTAAGTGAGAAATATTCCTATTCTGATTATTGTGAAAAATATTGATCAATATAATTTTCTTTTCAAAAAGGAGATTTGAGATCATATTCTTAGGAGTTCCATACAGATTTGTGTTCCATAAAACATTAGTCCCGAAGCTTCAGTATTGGCCAGCTCTTATTATCGTATGGATTGATTAAAATACCATTCGTTGAGTAGTATATGTTAAAGGGGGAAAAATCATCCACAAATAATTAAAATTTTCTAGTTCATTTATTAATTGACCCAGAAATGGAAAGTTACATCAAAATTGCAAATTTTGAAATCAATATCTTGGTCAGTTTTTGCCATATATTAATGATGTGTTGCCTTTTTATAATGAGTACAAATTCTTTCTAAATATTAGTGTAGAGAAATATAAATTTCTAAATATAAATGTGTGAAAAGTAAAATCTTTGTTAAATTTAAAAATGCCAAAACATGAATACTCGTATTACTTAAAACATTTTTGTAACTGAAGGCATATGTCTGTGACTAATGATTGTGAAAATAAAGGCTGAATAAGGACTTTTCTGGATGTAATATACACTACCCAACATTGAAAATCCAACACCATGGACTGGCCCAAAAGTAATGCAAATTTCAGGGTAGACGCACGTCACCGAGTTATGTGAATGATGTGAAATGTGCAGCTCTCCAGCGCACTTTGAATAAGATACAAGGGAAAGAACCTGCAGCATGTTCAATTCTCTTGCCATTATTTCTGCTAGGGAAGTAATCGTAGAAAATTTGTTCTTGTCTCAGAGGACACTTGTAAAAGCAAAGAATGCCAGGCCGTCATAAATGTAGTTCCAGTGATGTTTTGTGAGGGGCATGGTGACCGGGCTGAGATGAGCAGGTTGGTACATATGGCAAATCTCAGCTGACACATACCTGGATGCATCGACAGTGCACTGGCTGTGCCGACGATGGTTGGAACAAGGAAATATGGCAAGTTCAAGGGGTGCTGATGCAGCCAGAACAACTTCAGCAAGTGTGGTTCGACACAACTGCAAGACACTTCTATCTCTATTCTGCAGCATGTTAAGATACCATGGACTTATTGACCAGGACCATTTACCGTCGATTGGTGGCCTGCACTCATGGCCGTCCATTAAGAAGAGTGCCCTTGACCCCCACGTCATAGACTCCTCAATGTCTTCAATAGTGCCGGACTCGAGCGATGTGTACAACGGAATGGCACAGAGTCTTGTTCTCAGATAAGTCATGCTTCTGTTTCTCTAATGATGGCTGCTGCGTACAAGTGTGGCATTGATATGGAGACAGATCCATTCAGGCAACAATGGTGAAACACCCCACCATGCGACAGTGCAGCATCATGGTTTTTGGGTGCAATTGCATTCGATTCCTGATTACCTCTAGTTTGCATGCGAGGCATTATGACGACCCAATAATACGTGGTTGATTTGCTGCAACTGGTGACTCTACCTTCAAAGATTGCCCAGTATACTTAATCAGCAGGATAACGCCCAACCAAACACTACTCGCATCAGCCAACGTACTCTGCAAAGTGTACAGATGCTTCCATGGCCACCATTCTCTCACTAGTCGAACACATTTGGAATGTGATTGGATAGCTTTTGCAGACCTTGCCGTGTTCAGTAAACAAACTGTGACAAATGGTTGACAGGGTATGGAGAGCCATTTCTCAGGACACCATCCAATAGACTGTCTGTCCACCTGTCAACCATTTGCCACAGTTCATCTTCTGAACATGGCAAGGTCTGCAAATGGCATCCAATCACATCCCAAATGTGTTCAGCTGGTGAGAGAATGGTAGCCATGGAAGCATCTGTACACCTTACAGAGTATGTTGGCTGATGCGAGCAGGGTGTGGTTGGGGGCATTATTCTGCTGATTAAGTGTACTAAGCAATTCCTGAAGGTGCAGTCACCGGCAGCAGCACATCATCCACGTATCGTTGGGTCATCATAATGCCCCGCATGCAAACTAGAGGTGATCAGGAATCGTATGCAATTGCACCCCAAACCATGATGTAGCATTGTCACACGGTGGGGCGTTCTACAATTGCTGCCTGAATGGACCTGTTCTCCACATCACTGCCACACTCGTATGCAGCAACAATCATTGGAAAAACAGAAGAATGACTTATCTGAGAACACAACTCTGCGGCATTCCGTCATACACATCACTTGAGCCCGGCACCATTGATGATATTGGGGGTCTATGACGTAGGGTCAAAGGCAGTCTTCCTAAGGGACACCCATGAGTGTGGGCCACCAATCTAAGACAAATACTTGCAGTCGATATAAGAACATCCAAGGTGTCTGGAAGATGCTGCAGTATGGACATAGATGGGGCTTGCAGGTGCACGACGGCTTGTCGGCAGATGTGTCGATTCACGCTTGCTAACGTTGCTCTGGCTGCACGGGCACCTTCGAATTTGCCACATTTTCTTGTTCTAACCATTGTCACGAAAGCCAGTGCACTGTCGATGCGTCCAGGTGTGTGTCAGCTGGCACTGCCTTTCTTGATGATGGCCTGGCATTTTCTGCTATGGCATGTGTTGTCTGAGAAACGAGAATAACTTGGTGACGTGCATCTGCCATGAAATTTGCATTTTCAGTGTCTGGTGGCATATTTAAAAACCTGAGTTAAATGTGATTTATTTTCAGATTGAAGACCAAGCTATAGAAGAATTACTGGCTTTGTATAATGCTGCAGGTAATCACAAAGAGAAGATAACTGTGTCACGTGTTCTACCTAGTGAAGTAGCAAGTCCAGTTTGGAAAAAGAACAGATAATTTGTGATATTTTGTTTTTTGTTCTGTTTTATGTTCATCAGTCAGTAATAAATAAATTTTAAGCAAATATTATGTATAATTAATTTTATTTTCCAAATTTTCATATCAAGCACAAAAGATAAGTATGAGAGAAAACACATCAAAGTGAAACAAAAATTATGGTGATCGTAGATTTATTCAACTCAGTTGATTTCAAGAGCAAACAGGTATAGGTCCCTCTTCATCAGGAGCAAAGAAGTGGGTGCAATGGTCATATTTATATCCTAGAGTATGAAGTGAACCAGAAGATAGTGCCATCTGTTAGCAAAATTAAGTTAATGGAATTTTAAAACCATTAGGAAGGACTAGATTGGACTCCATCATTACCTAAACAATATAAATCTTTGTGAATGGGAAAAGAAATGTGATCGAGAAAATCCAATTCACCAACTGAAGTGTTTGAATAATTTTTGCAGACCCAAGTCAAAATTATATTAAAATTTCAAACTATGATTAGCTGTCAAAGACTTGTTAATTTCACCTTTTCGAATTGAAGATTCCTTAATACAAAACTTTCATGCTCTTTTAGTTTGGCTGCTGTACTTCAAACTACACTGACATTAAATGCTTTAAATTCCCTGAGAATTCACAGCATAAGTCATAAATAGAATCTTTACGAATCTAACCATGTATTTTATTGGTAGGCGAGAAAATGACAAAATATAAACTCTGCGAAATTATATAACTGACAGAAAGATAAAATGGAAGCATGACAAGTTATTAATGCTATTTTTAATAGCAAAATGTCTTCTTTTATAATAATCAGTTGTCAATGACTGAGGATTTTCTTCCATGATCGTTAATACAGCATTTAAAAAAATTTTCATCTTATGGTAAACTGCAGATTTTTTAAATGCTGTATTAACGATCGTGGGAGAAAATCCTCAGTCACTGACAACTGAGTTCATTAGCAAGGAAAGGTTCGAGGAACAAATTTTGAGAGCACAAAATACATAATAATAATAATAATAATAATATTTTTTTTTAGTCGGGTGACATGATTTAGCATGGGGCAGTAAACAGTAGTGCTGAAATCAGATTCATTGTTAATTATAAGAATATTAAGGAAGAGAAGGGTATTGTCAGATCCAATTTCAAAAGTGAACTGGATGAATCGAACTTGTAATAGATAAAATCTAGGATAAATCATCTTTATTGCCATCAAAAAGCAAAAAAGTATGGTCTCTGTAGCAAATCCATAGGCGACAAGATAGTTTCTCAAATAATTTGACCTCAAAGTAGTAAATGTCAGCAAGTACAAGACAGGGGATTATCCTTAACTAATCCTTTAATTTGGTGATAATATTCATTTTAGCAAACAAAGTGTGTTTGACTCAGAAAAGAAATCAACTCTTCAGCTTCAGTATGTGTGAAATGGAATTCTCAAAGCCTAGATTCAAGAAAATTCAGTGCTCCTTTGACTGGAACATTAGTAAACTGTAGTTTAACATTAAAAAAAAAAAAAAAAAAAAAAAAAACATTATGGAATGTAGGGGAGAAAAATGTTAAAGTTTATTGATGACATCAAAAGAATTTTTTGTAGGGTGAATATTGTTAGAAAATAAAGAAGATCTGGAAACTAAATATTTGGCCAAAGGTATATGATGTCTTTCCTAAGTTGGAAACTATAGGTCAAAACAGAATTCCAATTTTGCGGACTTTGGAAAGAGCACAGTTAGCAATAGGTAGAATAAGTGATTTTTTTTAACTGAGTTGTGATTATATGAGAAGACTGAACAGCTGTTTTTACTTTCGTGAGATCAGAAATCGGTTTTGACTCCATCAATGTATGTATCTTTGTCCATAACAATGATCTGTCCGTTCTTATAAGCTTTAGAAATTAGTACGAGGGCAATCCCAAAAAAAAGGTCTCCTATATTTTTAGATATACAAAGAACCATTTATTTTCTATAATTGCTACATCACTTTAAAGATTGCAGAATGCTTTATTTTTCAACATAATCGCCATTTCGGTCGATGCATTTTTGTAGACGCTGTGGCAGTTTTACAATGCCCATGTCATACCAGCTTGCCGCCATGCCCTTCAGGAAGTGTTGAGGAGCTTCAGGAGCATCCAGATGATCCTCCGATCTTTACGCATTTTACGAACTCAACGAATATGAACTCAACAATCGCGAAACTTGAGGAACTCAACTTTTGCAATTGTCTCGTCGGCAATTGCCGGCCTCCCGCTCCTTTCTTCGTCATGAATTTCAGTACGACCGGCTGTAAACTCTCTACACCACTTGCGAACGTTTTTGACATCCATGCACGACTGTCCATACACTTCTGTCAATAGGCGGTGAATTTCAAACGGTTTAACGCCTTTTGCATTCAAAAATTGAATAACTGCGCGCACTTCGCACTTGGCGGTAACGTTTATCGAGAGCTCCATTTCGAATGGCTGCCAAGCCAAGACTGAGCATCCGAGTGAAGCGCCTGCGTGCTTATGTGGTAGCGGAGAAGGCACCACTCACAAAAGTGTTGCCAACAACTGTATTAAAACTTTCTCTACGTCCCCCAAAAATAGGAGACCTTTTTTGGGGGGGATTGCCCTCGTATAATAATAGTATTAGAATGAATTTGTTAGTTTACTATTACAGTCAAAAGTCTTTAATCCGGACTTTAAAGCTAACAAATAAATATTAAGCTTTTTTTTTGTAAATTTTGATAGCCTTTAGATCATAATTGCTCTTTATTTCATAAATTACGGTTTCATATTTTTAATTTTATAATTTCTGCATGCCATTTTACCAGATTTAAACTGATGGTCTATAATCCGGAATCGCTGAAGTCCCGACAAAGTCCGGATTAAAGACTTTTGACTGTATTGTATACCGGTGCCCTTCAAAGGCTTAAACTTTATGTATAGACACTTAAGATTCAACAGTAATGTCACTGGATTAATTTATATGTTATGGTCCCAAAGTTGCAACTATCAGCTCTTTTTTTGGGGGGGGGAGGATTTTGACATTTTCTCCATTAACACATATGTACCCAGATTTTATTCTCCATTAGCCAAAATGGAAGAATTAAATAATTTATTTGCAGCAAGAAAAGCAAGCTATTGTAAACAGATGAAGATATCAGTTTTAATACATGAACTAATCCCCTCTGTCAAATTTATAAATATTATAAGCTATACATGAATAGACATTTGTGTTTAACTGAAATCTTTTACAGCATTACTCACATATATTAAGTGGAAGATGTATCAAAATTGAAAATAAAATTTCATTCATGTATAAATATGAAAATAAAATTTTAAATTCATAACACGGAAACTTTATTATCTATACATTTTAAAAATCGAAAAAACAATATAAAATGCTTTTGTTCTAATAATTTTTGTAATTAATACTAAAATATATTTAACACATCTGAAGTGTCTGGTGTGCAAATATAGAAAAATAACACTTCTCTGACTCCAATGGAACCAATATTTTATTCCTTACGAAGTTGTAGATTCTTATTCATAAGATTTATTTACATTTTACATGCACGTTCAATCGCGTGACAGAAAACCGAAGTTTGTTTACTTCGCTCTTGCCATTCCGCTTTAACTAAATTTAATTAGAAACTTGACGAAACTGAAGCGACACTACACACCCCCTTCCTAGTGATAGCGATTATGGGAGATAATCTTTAAAGTGACTGGGGAAACTTCACATGTCTGCCGGTTCTAGTAGTCTTGGTTTTATGGATGAGTTTCTGAATTTTCTTCAGTGTTCTTGAGTGCAGGTGTTCTCCCTAAGTTCCGCTTTCTTGGAATGGGAGTTTTGGAAAAGGAATATCAGAATCTTGCACTAGGAAACATGGCTTTAGTCTGTCTATTGAAACTCTTTTAACTTTTCCTTGGATTTCAATATCGAAGTACTTATCCTTTCTAGCTCTTACAGGATACGGTCCAAGATAGACAGGCTGTGTAGCGACGAATTATTAATGTTGTGTATAGGAATACGTGAAAACAGTTGGAAAGATGTTTAGAAACAAAGACTGTTCTATTTCCATGGGTGGTGGTAGAACTTGGCTTCATAGCTCTTATTATTTTCTGAAGGTTTTGAGAAAATTCAGACTGTTTCATACTGAGGTACTGTTGAAAAGAATTCACCAGGTAATGCTAAAGGGGTTCCGTATACAAGTTCTGCGGATGAGCAACCTAGGTCTCCCTTGATGGCAGATCTTATGCCTAAAAGAACGAAAGGCAATGCTTCCAGCCATAATTTTGATTCGAGTAGATGACATTTGAGACTTGCTTTTAAAGTTCGGTATTGTCTTTCGATCAGGCATTGCCTTTGCTGTGGATGGTAACGCAGTTGTAGTGTTTGTATGAAAACCAAGATATTTTCCTAAAGCTTGAAAAAGTTGGCTATCAAATTGCCGACCTTGGTCAGATGTTATGCGATTCGGAATTCCAAAGCGTGAAAACCAAGTATAAATCAAAGCTTTAGCAATAGATTCTGCTGATTGATCTTCTAACGCTACCGCTTCGATCCATCGTGCATAATGATTGATGATGGTTAGAAGATATTTGAATCCTTTGCGAGGAGGTAGCGGACCCACCAGATCTAAATTATGGATTGAAGAAAATATTTTCTGCCGAAACTTTGCAGGGATGTATGGTCGATTATAATTTGTAGAAGTATCACAGTAAATTTTCTTGTCACTGTCCGGTATAGGGATCTGCAGGATTTTTAAGTTTGAGTTGTTTTTAAGTATCTCCAAGTCGTCATCATCTTGACAGTCTACTATGGTTTGTAAGTCTATTGCAGATGGTACAGAAACCGTGTCTATGCGAGAGAGAGCGTCAGCGACGGTATTTTCATGCCCTTGTATGAATCGGATATCGGTTGAGAACTGGCCAATATATGACAGTTGTCTACTTGTCGTGGCGAAGCTTTTTCCAAATTTTGTTGGAAGGCAAATGTTAGTGGTTTGTGATCCGTGTATATTGCAAAAGTTCGCCCTTCTAAGATGTATTTGAAATGTTTTACTGCTGTATAGATGGCTAAGAGTTCTCTGTCGTAG